TAATATTAGAGTGAACTAATTTGAAGCAAAAATATCAATTAATTTATATCAATACTCAGTTTTATAAAAATAAATGTTCTTGTATAATGTTATAGTTTTTGCACTTATTAATTAATTTTTAATTAAATAATAATATATTTATCTTACGTGTTCTTACGCTGTACTTAGTTAATATTAAATTTGTAATTATTGAATGAGTATTGTACGGGTTGCAGTCGTTCCAGGTATCCATAACTATGAGATAACATAAAAAAATAGAGGGGCTTCAGCACCCCCAGTTTTTTCATTGAAATTGCGCCCCTGTATATACCGACACAGGTGCGCATTGTATACTTAACACTTTAAATAAAAAAATATATTATAATAATAATTATTATTATAGATTCGCTTTTCTACCAAGTATCGACTAAAGATTTTTACGATGACTTGATTAAGAATCCAAACCTCATGCTGCGCACGGACACGTATAATTTGCCGACCGATCACAAGGGTTACGCGGGCTCGCGGAAAAGGATTCCGGGATTATTCAAGGACGAGAACGCAGGCAGAACTATCTACGAATTCGTAGCGCYGCGCGCAAAGTCATATGCCTACGACGTGGAACGCGAAGTCACCATTCGTGCGAAAGGCGTTATGAGACACGTGATCAGAAATCACCTCACGCTAGTCGATCATAAGCGCTGTTTATTCGCCGATGTGGACGACGACATAGAATCCGATGAACGAGACGACGAGTTTGACTTGAGCATGGGGAAAATGATTGCAACCGACTGCGCGAGACTGGCCGTTGCGCGGATACATCAAAACGCCTCAACGAGCGTGACTGCGCATTCCCCACCACCATCACCCGTACAACCGTCGCACGCTTATAGTTATATGTCTTTTACGCCGTGTAGAGAAAATGTCTCTATACGGTCGTTTAAGCATGAAATTCGAACTATTAAAACTRTGAAACTGGTATTGAACAGATCGGAAGATAAACGCCATATTCTAACCGACAGAATAAATACACTCGCGCACGGACACTATCGCATAAATTATTGAATTTGTCCTATTATTATTATTGTTTAACTGTTGTATAGCTGTTAATATAATATAATACCATTTTAAAATTATCATAATTA